CGGTCGTGTGGAAGTCGGCACGGCTACTTGAGTGATGGCGAGAAGAGTAGGCTCCGTGTATGACATCGAAAATGCTGATACAATAGAAGCTACCCATCATAGTGCGTACTTGGAACATTGATGGGTAGCTTCTATTGTATAGTGGGTACTGAGCCCGCGATGCGACTGGGTCCAACTATGCATACAACAGCAGGATCCCTCAAGAGAAAAATAATTTTTCGACTGAAACTCCGGCAAGCTGCACTCCACGTCCCGTCGGAATTGCGGCCGAACATTTAACATTGTTGAACGTGCCGAAAAACGATCATGAAAACCGAAACCTTGGGCGACCCGCAACCGAAGTTCCCAAAGGTTGGTCTTACTCGATGAGGGCATAAAGAGTCGTTTGGACGCAGTCGCCACACATGCACGAGAGAGAGAGCATGCACGCTGGCACACCACACATAGCGGGTTCCCCAGCCAACGCGCGAGGACACAGCATGTCCTCCTCGGCAGCAGCCAACAGCGCCTCAACTATGAAAACCAACCTCTCGGCAAGTACCGCTCCTCTTTTGTTTTGCCACGCTCAAACGGTCCCCCTGTGGCGCGCGGCTACGGCGAGGCCATCCCAATCCCCACTCGGATCCCGAGACGAGGTTGTGAATCTTCTGTGGCAAACACCCCTCTGTATGTTGTACCCTTCGAAAAACACATCAAACGTGCATACGCATGCATACTCGGCACAACATTTTACTCCCTGCTACCTATTTAGCCGCAAAACCCACGCCACGGCGGGACTACCATCACTGCTATCTCTTAACTGTTCCGCGCCCTACTTCAAGTTCACCGAAAGGACTGGTTTCGGAATGAGGGCGGTAAGGGAAAGGACGCACCACACCTTTTATTGCTCCGAGAGTTGTGAGTGTCTTCCCGGCCCAACTCTTGGGACCGGGGGCCACGTCTGGGCGCGAGAATCCGGTGGTTCCAACAACGGTTCTCAGCGACTCGCGTGGTGAGTTTTGGCACCGTGGTCCCTCCTGTGTGGATCTCTCTATTCGTCCTGATCGTGTCACTGAGGCCTGGGCAACTGCTGGCGGACAACCCAAGGAAGCAGTACTATGCATAGCAGCACTTGAGCCACTCGCGTGCGTGGCCCTTCACCCATGATTTTTACTAACCATAAACACAAAGAATGTCATCTCTTTCCACAGATGAAGGGTCCGGGGATACATGGGCAATGAAACACGGCAGCGTTTCTAGACGACCCGCGTCCTTACGGATACTCATCTCCAAGAAGAATAAAGTCAAGATAAGCCATCTCCATGTTTCACCTCCTTCAGATAAATACCTAGATGCGTAAAATGCGCTGGACGGCAGTGTTGCCGCCTTCCGAGTCTGCCAAGATTTCATCCAGAGGGACTTCACACTTGTACATGTAAAGAGGGGTACGCGTGGTCACTCGGTGCATGTTACTGCTGCACGCATATGCCATGCTAAGCATACAGCAGTATATACCGACGACCGCAAGCAGCATACACCAACGGAAGCGTAGAGAAAATGTAGGAAACGCTGCGGTACCGTACGTACGTAGCCAATAAACCGAGCTCAAATCCAGACGTGTTAAAATGCTGACTTGATGCTACGACACCAAAAGACGGAACCGGGAGCATCGCGGCTCGGCCTTATGCTGCTCACCCTGCAGGTCTGGAAGCACGGGTGCAACGCACCTCATGCCATAGCCGACTCCTCGCCTGGTTGGCGGTTCTTGCACAAATGTTTTGTTGTACCGGATATTCGTTCGTTAGCTACAGACGTACCACGAAAAAACATCGGCCGCAAGAACCCACATTCGCGTTCGATAGAATTTGTAAGCCCACCTGCAGAGGACAACATGACATACTTTCACCGTCCCTCCGTTCCCTCCCCACCGGGCATCGCAAAGCACAACCCCATTGACCCGATACGCAGGCGTCGTATACCAGCCTGATGCGCAAAGCTGAATATGGGATGGGTCTATCTACGCAGCAGCAGCGCCATGATTGGGTGAATCAGGCATCACGACCGCGCTGCAGCTGGTTTTTCTATCAAACGCCTGAATGTTACTGAGGACTCCCACATCCAGTCCCGCCAAAACAACCGTTTTATGCTATTAATAATAGTCCCCCAGAATCGGAGTGGGCACGTTTGGCATTGAACGAGTGGCCAGCGACCTCCCGGACAGTCACCTACAGACCTGACGGCAAATTCAAGTGTGGTGTTTTGTATTGGCTCTCTCGCTGCTATGGTCGGAAGGGTATATTTCGTTTGTACTATAACTCCGAAAATTGTGGAAATTAATTCTTCTTGTTATACTCCGTAAACCTGCAAAAGCTGGGAATCCATTCGGCATTCCTTCATACAGGGACCCGCGATGGTCATGCTGCCTGAGCATCTTTGTCCTCAAAACCATGAGGACTTGCGAGTTGAGTTGAAAAGTGGAGCAGAACATGTCGCTGTTTCTCATCTCTCACGTACCAATAAATCCGGGGGGGGGGGGGGGG